CAGGATTATTAGAAACTTCCATGCAGGTCCTTGTTGAAAAAAAAAACAGCATATGCTGGTTAGTTATGTTTTGAAGCATGGCAGCTGGTTTGAGCTGGTTTAAGCTGGTCATTAGTTGGTCATGAGCTGGTTTAAGCTGGTCATGTGCTGGTCCTAAGTTGGTCCTATGCATATACAGTTTTTTTCAACAGGGGTGTTTTGGAGCTGGTTGGAGCTATACTCAGCAGGACAGTGGCCCTCCAGGAACGAAGTTTGACACATGTGGGATACATGAAGAATACAAATGAAACCTCTGCAACATGCGACATTTGAAATGAGACATCTAATTTGGGACAGTATATTTGTTCGGTGACAATTACATTCAGTATATATTTATATTTTAACAGACAGTATTGCTGTAACTTGAAACTAAGGCCATGTTCACACAGCAGGAGAATATAGTTGTCAGCTCTGTATTTGAGTCTTTAATACGGTTACACTCACTCACAGTACGGTTATTTACGAAAGCGATAACCTTATTCTACAACCTAACTCACACTTGTACATTTTCAGGACTGCATTTACAACTGCATTCTCGGAAAACCTGCACAGTGTGAAGGGAACCAGACTGGACAACTAGTTGTCTGTCATGTCAAACAGTGCAAGAGAGCCACTCTAGTGCACAAACGCATGCCTAACATGTGCAGGTTTTCATGTGTGGTTTTGTAACTTACAGAGACGCAAATATGAGCTGTGTGTCATCTGAAGGTTTACATCAAGGTTCCTCAAATCTTGCCCTGGAGGGCCAATGCCCTCCAACCCTGATCAAACACTCATGTGCAAGCTAAACAAAGCCTTCAGGATTGCTAGGAAATCACAAGTAAGCTTGATCAGGGTTTGAGCTAAACTCTGCAAGGCAGCGGCCCTCCAGTAAAGGGTTTGAGAAACCCTGGATTATATCCAATCATTGTTCTCCACCGGAGCTGCCCCCAGTCAGTTTGGTGTGCTATACATGACTTAAATGGCCTGTTCTCCACCCAAATATAAAAGTTGCTGCCCATTATTGAAGATTTGACAGGTGAACTTGTGGCTTGATAGGACCCTTGTCATGTCAGAAAGTGAAAAGATGGTTTTATGGATGTTGCCATCTTTGATATTACTTTGGTCACTTTTGCTATGGATACTGATAAGGAATACAGGCTTCCCTGTTGAAAAAAACAGCATATCCTGGTTAGGTTTGTTTTGAAGCATGGCAGCTGGTTTAAGCTGGTCCTTAGCTGGTTCTAAGCTGCTTATTAGCATGACCGGCTTAAACCAGCTCATGACCAGCTAAAAAACAGCTTAAACCAACTCAAAGCAGCTGCCATGCTTCAAAACATATACCTAACCAGCATATGCTGTTTTTTTATCAACAGGGTTGACTTCCGTTGCGCGTTCATACAGACAGGCCTTTTCTCAAACGGAAGGCTGCATCCTCTGGAGGTCGCATTTGCAGTTTGCATAAGCCATCAAGCCTGGTTTATTTCAGTTAACTGAGCATTACATTCGCGAGTCATATGCATATTACAACAATTTATGCTTAACTAAGAATAATGGTCAAATTTATAACTGTTAATATTCTAAATAAGATCTTCTTTATGACGTATGCAGCCTACAAATGCGACCTCCGGAGGATGCAGCCTTCCGTTTGAGAAATAGCCACATTGTGCGAGACGCTACTATAAGCTATTGTGTGAAAGGGAAATCTCGAGAAATTTCGAGAGATTTCATGTGAACTTAGCCTAAATTTCAGCTGTAGTCTCTTGGGTGGCAGGTACTACCTTGAAGAATGTAATAACATAATAATCAATAAGATATCATGTTTTTAATGAAAAAAATAAATAAATACTTTTTCATTTGCAATTTGTAAAATATTAGCATACCATAGCAATTTAAGAATCCAGGCACAATTCTACACTTACTGGCTATACTAACTAGTCTATACAACAGGGGTGCCCAACCCTGTTCCTGGAGATCTACCTTCCTGCAGAGTTCAGTTCCAACCCTAATCAAACACACCTGTCTGTAATTATCAAGTGCTACTTCAGATGCTAATTAGTTGGTTCAGTTGTGTTTGATCGGGGTTGGACCTGAACTCTGCAGGAAGACAGATCTCCAGGAACAGGGTTGGGCATGGCTGCTATACACTAATGAAATATGTAGCAGAGAAACTGTGATTCGCCTTTACTAAGAACACACCTGTGGTAAAAATGATTTTACAGGATTTCTCATGGCTTATTGCTTTAAATAACAGTGGACAGAGACAGATTGGTTAAATTTCTTTGAGACTGTTAACATCTAGTGGTTTCTACATGAATTGCATATATGTTCTAAGGCCTTTGTAAAGGAAAGTGAGTCTCAATGTAACCAAAAGATGTATGCTGCAGATCCGTTTTCAGTAATAATCCTTCTATAAACTGGGTCCAGTTTTGCCACCAAAGATTAGTCAGAATCAGATTATCTTATCAATACTTATGACATTTAACCTTGTGTCTCTAATATTCCAAAAGTTGTTGCGGTGGAAATTTTGGAAGTTCACAGTGGGTGATCCAAGAGGGAAATCAAATGCAGGTATGTGATGAGGCCAAACTCAAAGACTTGGTTAAAGACTTGATTATAGTTGGGGTGCTACCTACTTAAAATTGTTTTTTGCATGGTGGGATGCATGATAACGAGACAAAAAAAACAAGTAAGCCTTAGTCAAAATGACTTCCAGAGCGATTCATTCCAGCTGATGAATGATAAAAATCAGTAAAAACCAAACAACTTTAAAGCAAGTGCAGCAGTGATGACTTATTTTGATGGCCAACCTGGCAGTTACCATCACACTGGTTCCCTCTGCATTTTTTCCCCGCTGTACTAATTGCAGAAAAAGGTTGCATAACTTCAGTGTCACCACTATTGTGCTTTAACAACTTTAAATTTTTATTTAAAAAAATAAAAATTTCCCTGGAAGTTTGAGTTACTGTAGAATAGTTTGCTAGAGCACGATTATAA